AAGGATTGATAAGTCTGATGCATCAGACATAAATATGAAACACAGACCGATTTTCTTTCATTAGGTTGTCCAGCTGGAGCCAGTTCACTTTCAATCAACTCAATTCAGGAAATGGATTTTCTTATAAATGCAAACCAGATGTCTTCCGCTATGAAATAAAGTTCTTATCCAGTCCAAAAAAGAAATGATTGGGAATGAAGGTTTGATCATAAATGTGTAGATGTGTGTCAGTTTACATGAATGAAAAAGTAAAACTGGGGTGACAAAAAAAAAATAAAGGCCTGCTGGTCCTTACATTCAAATCTGCAGCTGCAGGCACACCCATATGTGAGTGTCATGCTATCATAGCTTAGCTCCCACATACACAGCTGAAACCACACCGAAGCATGTCTTCAAATTAGATGGAGACATTCCAGTGACACCGAGCAGACACAGACCGGTCCTGTGTAGTGAAGAGGGCAGCAGCGGGGTGTATTTTTACACCAGATCTCTGACACCTACGTACATCTCTTCACAGCTCTTGGTGAGAACAGAAGACACGTCCAGTTGAGTTGTCATCATCAGCAGCCCCATCAGACATGGACAGTTGGGTGGAAGGAGGAAGAGGCGAGGAAAGATGGAGAGAGAGAGAGAGAGAGAGATGAGGAGAGAGGACTAGAAGAGTATAGGTAATGAGGGAGATGAGTGTCACGATCTTCTCGACGTGATGGCCTCGGCTAGCTCTGGCACTTCCGTTACAATGAAGTAGACTAGCACGGGTGTGAGTGAGGCGGGAGGAGTGTCAGCGGCAAATGGGAACTTTCCGGGAGTGTCAGGTTTCACACGGTGGGCAGCTTTGATAGGTGAAAGGTTACAGAAAATGATGTATGGTTCATGCGTGTGCGTCTGAGTGGATAAACAGGCTGATCTGAGGATGAGAAAGTAGGAAAGAGCGGGGTAAGAGGCTAAACACAGGGCGAGAGTGGGAAAAACAACAGGGGCATCACAATGATTAGAGAGGAAAGGTTACGGGGAAAAAGTGAGAGGAAGAGGGAAAAAAAGAGAAAGAGAGAGACAGTCAAGTCATGTTTGTAGACTCGCCTGAGTTTTCCAGGGGGAGCCGTCTGTAGTGCTGATGCAACCCCCCCCACCACACACACACACACACACACACACACACGCATGCACACAAACACACACACCCCACCCCCCTTTCCCAATGACTCTCCTTCTCTCTCGTTCTCTCCTCCTCAGCTTCTGATTGACAACTACTGTGTCTCTAATTGGCAAGTGTGGATAGGGAAGAGTCAGGCTTATTCTCCATGGGACAGACCGAGAAAGAGAGAGTGTGTGTGTGTGTTCAGGGGGGAGGAGATGGGGAGGGACATAACAGTGAGTCTTCCAACAGTGAGAGGAGAGGAGAGGAGAGGAGAGAGGAAGATAGGAAGAAGGAGATAGATGGGGGGAAGGAGTGGAAAATGGAATGGAAGAAGGCGGGAGGTGAGGAGGAGGGGACGGAGGTGAGGGCTGAACATCTGTTTGGTAATCAGTCTCTCCCCTCAGTGCAGTGTAACACACACTGACACCTATTTGATAATTGGTGAGCTTGCCCTCTCCCTCAGCGCTTGGCTAAATGGTTGCTTGATACCGAGGAGAGCAAAGGGACTAGCTGTTGGCAGTGTAATCTGTTTACTTGGTGCAGCTCAGGTAAAGATGCATAGCAGGCTGCCTGTGTGTGTGTCTGTGTGTATGTGGGTGTGTGGCTATTGCGTAAAGCTTTCAATCGGGTTATTAGTCTAACAATGTGCTCAAGATGTGACTTGGAGCGTGTGTGAAATGTGTATTATAACCTCTGAGCAATGCTGCTGCATTGTTATTCAAGGATAAATATGATCTCTTTTGTCTCTCTTATCCTAGGTGCTGTCCTTAAAGATTTGCTTCCACACAGACCCCCCTCCTTCCACGCTGCAATCTTATTCAGAGTGCAGGAGCTGAAGGGATGCACACAGAAAAGGAGAATGAGCCCCAGAGCTGAGAGGCGAGAGAAGGGAATGGAGGGGAGGAGGTGGGCCTCTTTGCTCCGGTCTCGACCACGGGTATTCTTGGGTTGATAATACAGATGTGGATGTTATTGCTTGAGAATACGCGTAGTCGAGTGGAAGCTTAATCATCTACAGTGGACCAAAAGCAGAGCACTATTCAGTAGACTACAATGGCAGAGACCAGGCAGACACATACACACGTATAGCCAAGCTGAGGTGGTGACACAGACATGGGGTGGATTTTAATTAAGCACCCAGAGGTGACGTTTTATGGGAAAAGGCTTATTTTGTTCAATCAGAAAGGTTTTTAAATAGAATGCAATCAGGGCTAGCCAGGTGCCCAAATCAAATCCAGCCACTGAAAAGGTTTTATCATCGTAGGTTTATCAACCATGTCACTCTTTACACCTGTGGAGGAAATGAGTTTGTGTCGCTGGCCAGATTCAGACCCTCCTGCAGAGGTGCTGGTGAGGAAGACTTGCACCATGCCACTAAGCTAAACCCCCAGGCATTAGTTCAGGGAGCTTAACACAAAAGTCTCCTGACTCAGACGTTAATTCCAAGCCTTCTTGATTACATACCCTTGTCAGTCAGTTGTGCACACAAGTGAGCCTATAATCTTATCAGTTGATGAGTGTCTTTCACAGTCCTTCACACTTTGCATCCAACATTTTCCTCACGGTGACCAGGAATTTGATGTTTGCAAAATTGTGGGTCCTCAGACGTAAACGGCTGCAATACCTTGGCATGATACATCATAACCGTGCGTAACCATCATCCCACTGCACTACAAACTAGTATTGCACTCCTATTTTTGATTCCCTGGCTCATGCTAAAAATGTGTGAGAGTTTGATGCCTGTAGCAGCAACAGGAGACAGTAACACATGAGGACATGTCAAGGCTTGCACCCGTGGCTGACATTTCAGCATTTGGCTCAGCTGACTGGCTGTCATGATGGAGACTCAGACCCTCACGCACACACACATACAAATACACACACATATATAAACTGCATGTGGGTTCAAATGATCTATATTCCAGTAGGGAAATCGGGGATTGATGGATTTTATGAAAACAAGCGTACAGATAGATCGCCATATGTATGAAAGCACACACATTTTAAGTAGGTTCACTGGGTCCGTGTGCCAGTGGGGAAATAAGGGACTGATTGATTCAATGGGTAACTATTTTTAGTCAGAATGATGGATGTTTATGTCTTTTATTGATCAAGTTGAGGTGTGGGTTTGAAGAATTCTTAAACGTCAGGGCATGCTGATTAATCAGGTAGCAAAGGTGTTAGAATAAAACATCCTGAATTACATTTTTGGTACATTAGCATTATTGCTAAGTATTATAAATTAGAAAATCAACATTTCACTGCAAATTCAGCAATATATTAGCATTTGTTTGCAAATGTGCCCATGATAAATTACACTCTTATCATTTATTATTCCATGATTTCTTACAACTGCGTAAGCAAATCTCTTATTTATTAGCACAGTGTATAATTCTAATTTATATGAATTTCACTCTGACACTGTGTAAACTTGTTGATTGGGCAAAGCCATTTCTGTGGTTTTGTGTGTATTTGTGTATGCATGTGTGTGTGCTTCTAAGCAACAAAATGACTATTGTGAGCACAGCTCCAGGTGCCTAGCAACCGAATCGCTCTGTTTCCTTGGCAACAGTTGCCTTGCACTCACTGTGTGGGTGATTGGCAGCCTTGACAACGGAGACGGAGTGACACTTGACCTCGCGTGCTGAATGGGAGAGGAGAAAGAAGGAGCGAGAAATAGAAGAGAGGGGGAGGGCGTGGGATGGGACGCGCAGAGACAGAGGAGAGACTAAGTGATAATCATTCTCCATTGTAATCATCCTCCAGCATGTTTCATAAGGCGTCGTCAATACCTCTCCAGCTGGGGTCCATCATCAAACACAATACACAGTGCAGTGCGCGCATGCACGGACACACTCTTCCTGGGTGGAGAGCCCAGGCAGGCACTCCACATCTCATCTATTATCACTCTGCGCTGCCTGGTGCACAGCCTCGCTACACTGTGTCTTCTTTCATTTGTGATCTGCTACATCCTGTGCTCTGTGGGGATGAATGGATACTGGACTCCTAAAAATGTGTCACGGTCACAGATGCCACAGGAGAGTAGCTCAGAAGCTGTGCCCTGAGACGTTTTATTTTGAAATAGGTAGCACCAGTGTCTTTGACACCTCAGAATTTAAGTGCTGTGATTATAAAAAAAAAAAAATGTATTTTTGTGGCTGTCTATAGATTCACCAGCTGAGGGTGTCCCATTGTAGTAGGATTTAATCAAAAAGCATGTTCATAGCTGACAATACCTCTGTATAGTGATAAATCAAAACTGGAACAGTGGAACAGTACAAATAACAATAGCTTTTATTGTTGATGCCATTAAGACGAAGTCAAATAAAAGCCCACGTTTGAAAATTGAGTCTGTTCTTTCACCTCATTCAACTTTTATTATTAAATCTATACTACACTCAGAGTTCATAATTTAAGCCTGTTCCAGAATTTAGGACGTGTAAAAGTATCTGTGAATATGAATGTTCTACCTTTTCTTTTATTAAATCTCAGATTCTTTGTCAAGTCATCTAAATCCCAACTGTATTATCTTTACTCTGAGGTTGTCCCTCCATTTGTCACCAGCTGGTGGTGCTCAGTACTGTAAGGGACATTTATGTCACGTAATATATAATCACTTCCTTTGCTTTCCACATTTTAAAAAGAAAAACCTAGGACTATTACATTCAGCTACACCAACTCAAGGACAGACAATTACATCTTGATCACAAAGAATACAGAAATCCAAAGTGTGTCATCTTTTGCTCAGCGCAACAGGATTTCTTTGTTTAACAAATTAAACATCTGCTCTATCATATTATCAAAATACAGTACATTTACTTCATTATACAATAAAATGAAAACCAACCAAAACTAACTGGTATCAAGTCTTATTGCTCCTTTATTTCCAAGATCACACTTTTCAAATTCGTTGTATTTAAAAATCAGTTTTATTCTTCTTTTCGGCCATTGCATAGGAAAATATCAGTATTACAGCTCAATTCCAGGATAAGAGTACAATATTTTGTACACATGCGCTTAATAACAAAGATCTTTGTACTTTTTGATTTGTTTTTATTTCTTAAACATGTAAGCTAAAACTATACGATCACCTGAAAAGCTGAATGGATTAAGAACAATTCAAAACTTGTGAACTTAGCAGCAAAGCATAAATCTTACAGATTTCCGTTCCTCTCTCCAGTGGAATGACCTAATGCTGTGACACAACTGTCTCCATGAGGATAAGAATATCTGTGGATAGTTATGACTGTGAACAAAACCCAGAACATCAATGCTACCTTAGGACTGAGGATGAGGAATATACATATTTCAACTATGAACTATGCTGTGTTTAGGTGAGATGCTAAAACAAATCCATCACTGAGTTTCTGTTGGTCTAAACTGTATTCAAATTAAAAATCAAGAAGTTTACTCCCACCTAGACTTTGAAAAGACTTATAGTGGAGTCCGCCTGAAAATTTTCCTCTCTAACTACATTGTGTTGCTAGTGTCAGACACTGTATGATAGAGAATGAGTTTCTGTAAATTAATGTTTCTGGTTTCATATTAAAATGCAGAGATCACAATTACAATTACATTTGCCCAGTGAACAAAACATAAGAAACCAAAATTAAAAACAAAATAAAAAACAGGATATTATTTTGCAATCTTCAACATCAACTATTATTTAAAGGCTTGTCTACACCGTATCCAAAGGTTCTTTGAAATCCATCCTAAATAATCAAAAACAGAAAGGCCTGCTCAATGTGTGAGGATAAATTAGGATACACTGCAAGTAACAAATAATGAAATAAATCTCAAGAGTAAAGACTACAGTTGTGGGTGGAAACTTTACTCACAAAGGGGAGAACTCGAAAAGAACAATTCAGAGCCTGTTTGTGATGATTCACACAGGTGTAAATTTCAAGTGACCATACAGAAACCTGTGAATAATAAATGATTCGGAAACCTCCGACCAGTTTGATCCTAATGGGCCCAGACCCACCAGCCACATCCTCATCCCGTTCCTGAGAGGCATCCAACTACATGAGGGCTACTGATTGGCTGCTTCACATGCATCTATCCAATCACTGTACACATCAACTGGCTCCGACAGATCTGAGCAGTAACGGATTAAGGATAAAAAACATTCCCTTGCATAAGAATAAGAGTTTAGATTAATGCATGATAAAAAAAAATCAATACAGAAGAGTAAAGTCACTGTTTCCCAGGAAAGCTGTTGTTTGTTATTACACTGGAGGTGAGCAGTGATCCCCAGTGCAAATCACATTCTGAATCTATGTCATATCATTTATCAGAAGTACGATCAAGTGATTACCATTTTTAAAGTCAAAGTTCTGCTCCCTCTCCAAGCTAGCTTCTGTTCCACTAACATATTTCTTTAACCTTTCTTCAAATGCTGAAACTAATCAAATTTGAGCACTTCATCAATTTAATAAAATAATATCTTCAATGAGTCTTATACAATGACAGGATGTCAAAGCTTCATAGGAGCAGCAGTTGTTCAGTGCTAATAAAATTGTTTGACAATACAGTATTAATTCAAGGTCCACTTACTATTTTTTTTCCTGACATTCCAACCACATCTTATAGCTGTCAATACTGAAGGGAGTCTGTATATGTACATGGAGGAGAAACCACAGGCGTGGTCTTTGTTCAAAGATGGTATTTGGTTTCAGATGTGAATGGCCTCATTGACCTTTCTTCTGCAATTTTGCTGCATGGTTTCCCAAGGATGAACACTTACCTCAGTGAAACTCAGAGACTCAGTGGTCTCCAGAAATAGACAATGTCAACTGTCTGTGAACACCAGACCAAAAACTAGTCACACCTTCAACTTGGAAGTGGTCAAAGTCATGGCAAGGATTCTGGGGTGAGAGAGCTCAAGAGGGCCATTCACATCTGATGTCAAAGCCTAAAAGCATGGTCATATTACATTCAACAAAATTTACCAGCACTCAGCCCTGAAAAAGGAAGTGATTTCACAATTCTGATGCAGGTAATAAAGATTGACCAGAGCAATCACAGACAGTAAACAACGTTTGAGAGCAATGCTATAATTTGTAGTCTGTCAGTGTGACAATGTACTAAACATAATGATAAACCACACTAGAAAAGTAACTTCCCTATTTCCAAACACAGTGCATCAGTGTCTCTATTGACCACAGGAGTGCATCTGCTTTGGTTAAAGTTGAACGCAGGTGAACTCTGGCCTGTGAATCTGCCAGAGCTGACTGGACATCTCACTCAAACATGAAAGGCACACTGGAGTCTGTCCAGCATTCGGGCTTCAATTAAAGTGAACGTGAGATTGAGAAAATAGTTGTGTACCAGACAAGTAAAGTGACCAAGCCACTTTAAAGTTACATGATTTTAACTGATCCACCTGCATGACGACTATTGGAAGCTTGTAAAAAAACCTAGTGAGTGGACCTTGAGCTGAGATTATTTTGTCAGACTAACTGTTTCCAAGATTAAGAATTATCTTGCATGCCTAGAAAGTTAAAGTTATTTTTTAAGATAAGGTTTTCAACATATTCTGCAATTGTGTCACTAATGTTTTATTTCCTAGAAAGATAGCGATGTAAATTCATCCATGAATAAGGATACAGGTGATGGGGGTCTGGAACTCCTCCAAGCAGACTGTGCATGATATTATCCCCGTATTTCTGCTCCTCTCCCTGTCCACAGGACAAACAAAAGAAAAGTTGGCAACAATTAGCTCAGAAATCAACAAATGAAACTTTACCATTGTATTGATATATATATATATGTATAAATATTATTCGGCTAATTACATTTTTACGTCACATGACTTCTCGTGGTTGCAGAACGGACAGGTGAACTGACTTTCCAGATCCCCTGTCATCTTCTTCTTAGGAGGAGGCTTTCTTTTGGACTTGCGGCGACCCATTGCACACCAACTGAATCACAAGTCTATGTATGATAGAGACAAGAATCATGGAACTTTATCAAGGAGAGCAGGAGCGATGGGTGAATGCCACTAAAGAGAAAATATGTGAGAATAGTTGAGTGGAAAACAACTCTAGTCTGCTGCACCAGATTGTTGGTAAGTTAGCATGCTAACGTTAGCATGTTTGTTGTTGATCCCCAGTGCAACATAAATCGCCTCACAATAGAAAAAAACAGTGTTAAAACAGAGTTAAATAGACTCGAGTAAGAAAGCGTCTTTGATTCTGCTTCGACTAGCTTTAGTTACTAAACATATCGTAAGTGTTAAGTAAAAAAAACTTTAATCTTGTTTACCTTTGGTTGTAGAAAACACACGTTGCAGTAATGAGGAAAAGGGTTCCTTAAGACCCGGCACCGGCAACAGTACGCATTAAATGATTGGAGGAGAGTGTGCGGGTTGCGGCCAGCCATTGGCTGTCTGACATGTCAGTCAATATGATTGGCAGTGACGAAACAGACTCTGACCTATGCGTCTGACACAGCCTATTCCCGCGTGGTGGCGATAGAAGCTATCGCAGGTAAGATAATGGTGATGAAAAGACTCCAAAGTTTGCTGTTTTTGCACGCTCCTTCCACCCTAGAAATGTTCAGGTGTCAACTTTTGATACATATCGGCAGGTTCGTTTATTTCACATAGCATTTGTGTCGCAGAATGTCTTCTTTCATCAATGTTCGACGTTTATATTGTATTTTAACTTACAAATCACCAGCGTCTTGGAACAAGAACACATTGGTTGAACAATGTAAATTTAACTGGAATTTACATTGAGTCATGTTAGCTTAGCTTGGTTAACAAATGAAGTGAGCTATTCTGCTCAACAGTTAAACCGGTCTGTGAAATGTCAGAAAATAGTGACAAATGCTCTTCAATCTTCAAACAGATTACAACACAGTGATATTAAGTTTGAAATGATAGAATCCAGAAAAAAAGCAGCACATTTTTAAGATTGAGAAGCTTGACTAATCATTCAATAGATTTCTTTCAGCAGTAGAGAACACACAGACAAAACAGTGTAATCATACTTTTGCATGAGACTGCTATGAAAATGGCCATGATCATGTAAGACAAAACTCCCCAAAGCACTTATATTTGCATTGTACCACGCTTATTACGTACATTACTTTAGTATTGTTCTGTTGAAGATATCAGTGATGTGGACAGTGAAGGTGGTTGGCCTGGGGGTGGTGGCCCTCTCTCTGGAGCTGCTTGCCTGGTTCCTTCGTCGCCGCAGGCCTGAGAGAACCCTGAATGAGGTCCTCTTCTTCCCTTCAGAAATGACCTGTGTGGAGCACTTCTTCCGTCCCTCTTCACCTCAGTGAGTGAGACATAAGCATTGTATTGAGTAAAAGGGAGAAAAAGGATAGTATTACCTCTGTATCACTGTACAGTTTTTTTGTCATAATGGCCACTAATGCAAAATAAATTCTCAGCCCCCAGATACTTTCAGTAAGTGGATTTAGTCTGCGCATTTACCATTCTTAATCCCCGCTGCATTTTACTCAGCAGGACCAGTGTACTGAAGTTATTTCTCCAGATAAAATTAAGCCAAAAAACCAGACCTTGATTAAACGAAAGATCATTGATGGTACTTGAATTCAACAACCAACTTCACAACATTTTTTTTCCAATTTGAGTTATTTAAACCACACAATATGTCTTTTCCGTTTCTAGAGAAGCTCAGTGAAAGATGCAACACACAAGAAGAAGGCAGCATGAAGGATGTTAAGTAAAGACTGTTTAGATAACACAGTTTTGTTTTCTTTCTTGTTTTCTGGTCCTCCAGTTCCTGTTTCTGCTCGTTGCCTCATGGTATAGAGACCTCTTTCGCCCGTCTTCTCCACCACCTCCTATCTGCAACATCCTCTCTGGATTTGTGTGTTTTTGCCTTTTCGAACATGGATCTATGCAGGGCTATACTAGCCCTGCATAGAAAGGGCATTATCATCAGAGTCCTCACTGACAAGGACTATACCGCCATCACTGGCTCTCAGATAGGGATCCTCCGCAAGTCTGGTAAGAGTAACAGATCCATTTATTTTTTGAATCTTTGTGAGGTACATTTGTCTTCGTGTGTTCATGTTTAGGTCCTATAGAGATATTATTTATTGAAAAAAATAAGTCACACCAACCTATGTGGGATTATTATGGACAAATATTAATTGAAATATGGTAAGCATGACTTGGGTCTTACTCAACAAAAGGTGCTCACTCTGTGTTCTCGAACTACCAGTGTCACTGTCATTAAGTCTCACAGGGTTCCTTAGTAGTGAATAGAGTGATGATAGGAAGTGTCTGGGTGAATGGACGTCACCACTACAAGCCCTCCTATGAGTCAGAGTAATCATGCTCTGAAAGCACCGAAAGATTTTGTGTCACGTGTCTGGCTCACACTGTCTCACTTTCTCTCTCAGCCCTCTCTGCATTTAATAAATTACTTTTAGTGTATGTTGTTAAGTAAGAATTAAGTAAGTAAGAAATTGGCAACCAGACAACAAATGTCATTAGGCAAAGTGTTTCTCAAAGTGTGTGTGTGTGTGTGTGTGTTTGTGTGTGTGTGTGTGTGTGTGCGCACGCGTCTGCGCGCGTGTTTTGACCGCAAGCCTCTGACACAAGGGAGAATCAGCTCTTCTACTGTATCTTTTGTATTTAGTCATTGTTCTGCAGAAACATTTCATAATCAAATAGCTGAGTGTGACTGGCGCTAAACCAACCACACTGCTTGGGGTTGTCCAGAGTTTGTTTATGAAACATTTCCTTCAGTTCACTTTGTGAACAGGCTCTGAAAATGTTCATAAATGATCATAAAGGGGCATCTTCTGGACTGTCCGTGTTCTGGGGTCAAAACTGGAAAGACATTATCATTTTATTTCCAGTTGCATTTACTCTTTCTCATCATTTCTGGCTGTCTTCATTTTGAGCTTTCTAATAACAAGATTTCATAGAGCCAAAAAGGCATTTACACAGAGCAATTAGTTCTTTGTAGGGATCATGTTCCTCGGAAGAGAAATGCTCAGAAAATCTAACACGTTTCCTATAATTGTTTTTTCCTTTTCTTTTAAATGAGCATGCACTTAACCTTTCGAGAGAGAACTTGCATATCTAATCTCTCTGTTTGTTTTGGTATGTAGTCCAATTTTAAAACCACTGATCTATGCAAACTGAAATCAGATACTTTACTAAAGTAATTCTTGTGTCTATGTTTCCGTTCTGCTTCTGTACCAAAATAATATCAAATTAAGTATCCGTACCATATTCCAACATTATTATTTTTAATTTCTATACTTGATTTATGTAAAATAGCTACTGCTGTTATTATTTTGTAACCTAAATTTTATTTTTGTTCCACACGTTGCAGTACTCGACAATAAGACTAAATACACAATTTGGGGGGTTTAAGAGGCTGAAAGCATTTTCATTAAAAAATGACTTTGATTTATAGATTTTATTTATTTTGTGGCACAACAGATTAATAAAAATGATCAGAATAAACATACACATAACAAATTAAATAAATATAAAGGCCTAGAGTGTAAAATTGTTTGTCAGATTTTGATAGCTTCCTCCCAGCTTTTGTGTTTTCCATCATTTTGCCACTTTTTCCACCCAAAGGCTTTTCTTTGCTCAGACTGGATAAGAGAAAGAAATGTCTTATGATCTTATGGAGAGTATGAAAACACTCATGTGACCTTAAAATGTTAAGCGCTGAGCTGTTGATGCAATGATGTTACAGTGAGGTTGAATAGTCTATGTGGTGAAAGGGCAGAGGTTTCAATTTGTTCTACCTGTATCACTCTTCCATTTCACAACTCCTCAGGCCACATGTGTCAGTATCGTCCATTTCGAAATTCTGTTCTAAATTTAAAGTGGACTGAAGTACAGGAATATTCATTCCTGATCCTTGAATAGTCATTTAACTCCACTGTTTTCCTTTATGTATTGTATTCCACTCAACTCAAAGAACCTTACATGCTATTTAACCTGCAGAAATTCTCATTGATTCGCTCTGTGCACTACCCAGAATTTCACAGTAGGACTGGATTGGATCAACACACATACACTGTATGAAGCATTGAAGAATTTTCCCTCATTCTTCACTGTCCTCCCTGTCTACCTTCTGCTCCCCAGGGATCTGTGTGCGGTGTGGCGTGGGCTCTGTGTACATGCATCACAAGTTTGCAGTGATGGACCATCGGCTCCTCATCACCGGCTCCCTCAACTGGACGCTGACAGCAGTGCAGAGCAACATGGAGAACATCGTTATCACTGAGGAGCCAGAGCTGGTGCAACCCTTCATCAAGGAGTTCCACAGGTTATGGGTGGACAGTGATCCAGCTCGATACCACCGATCAATTGACCAAAAACCTGCTCAGTCAGAGCTCATGAGAGAGCTTTGAGGTAGAAGGTGTGCATCTAAAAGCTCTACAATTAGCTTGGCCAGAAACTGCCTCTAGGATCTGTTTTTTTTTACTGTGAGGAGGCTCTGTTACTTTAAGTTTTGGAAGACTTGTTCATGTTAAAGTGAAGATGTTACTGTACAAGATGACTGGAGTTTTAAGGCATGTTTTTTCAATATTTCTAAGAAAACAGCTCTGATTTTGAAAGAGACTGATTTATAAGAACGAGTCTGGTTTATGTGTTTCATTTTTGCATTTGTTTTATTTTACTATGTACAAAAACACTGTTGTTGAAGTGCTGCAGTAGTTGTACAGCTTGGCAGACATAAGACTAGGATAATATCCACAACATAGGGTTGGGCTGGTTTAAAAGAGAAATCATCTTGTTTTTCTTAGGTGAGAATATTTCTTACATTCCTAAATTCAAGTTTGTGTTTTTATATATTGTCACAGGTTGACAGTGTTTAATTACAGTTGTTTTATTCAAAGATTTCCACCAAATTGATCTTGTTTCTTCATGGTCATTACATGATGAATAATCTATTATGTGATTTTTCCCTCTCAGAACTAAGGGGAATATGTATGCTAGTTAGGAGCTTGAGTTTAATACCTTTCCACAGTTCACGTTGTGCACAGTATAACTCGAAATTACACTGGCTGTAAAAATCCAGTATATTGTTTAGGGTGTGCTACTGCGATCTCAGGGACTATAGGTTGCCAAGTACCAATAAAAACTCTCTCACGCTGCAGTTTGGACAGGTCTGTTGCATCATTGCCTCACGGCTGTGGTTTTTCTCCTGCTCCAACATGATTTACTCTGTTTCATATTCGCAGAGATGCCTCACAGCACAGGGGTATTCGCAGTGTTTAACAATACAATCTTTTGTGGTTTGCAAACACAACTAGAGTTGATCTGGTTGGGACATGATTAATGTGACTGGTTGCATGACTCTCTGCATTGCTCACAGTCAGGCTGAAGCTTGTTGATAAAGCCCAGAACTGGTTTGTCTGACTTATGACTTGTAATATTTCAGCAGTTTACATCTTGAAGAGAAGCGTAGTAAATGGGGATTTTAGACTTTGCGAATCAGCTGCTGTATTTTATCCACGGCACAGAAGTGACCAATTTAACTGAGAGGTCATGAGTTCGGGTGCGTAACCAGTGCGTAATGCCTGCGCCATTCAACACACACTCCATCAGGCCCGACTGAAGTTTACTACTGAAACTGTGTCAAGCAGCCAGCGACGGACAGGATAATACCGGAAATGTGATTATTTTTTACTTTAAAAGATCAGCAGGACAATTGGTCATGCAGAATGAGTCAGGTTTGTACCATATTAATTGTTCTGTAACGATTAGTGCAAAAAAATCAATTGGTCAATCGACATCAATAATTCTGACAATTGATTGTTTAGGCTTTTTCTGTTTCATGGTATTGCAATCTGTGGGGTTTTGGATTGTTAATCAGATATACCCAACGTGAATACATTACTTTTGCCCAGGGAAATGCAGATAGGCACTCTTCCATTTTCTCGGGTTTTATTGATTAATCACTTAATCAATTGATCACAATAATCAATAATTTAAACGATACATAAAACAATCAGTTGCTGCAGCCCTGCGTATTACCATTAAACAAATATTGATTCTAAAGTACATACAGTACTGCAATATACTGCGCAGATGAAAACAATGACAACATTGTTAATGTTTTACACTTCCGTGTTTGTGAAGTATCCCGAAAGTCCTCGAGCAATCGTGGTTTTATATTGAAAGTCTATACCGGAAGTGTGCTATATATACTCTGTTTGACTTGACTGTGATTAAACGGTGGATATCCCAGTGACAGGCACATGCACAGTCTGGAAATCCGGGATCGGAGCGCCTGAAGAGGAGCGCCCGACACCAGCGCACATCCATCGGCTTTCAGATAGAGGAAGACCGTGGGAAGGACGGACGAAGAAGAAAGACATTATTCAAGGTAAGAAATAAACATTTCTCTGTAAAGGCAGAGCGGTTTGTTTAAGTGTCATCAGGTTGTAGGTGAGTTACCGTATGGTAGGGCGGTGTAGGCAAATTAGGCTAACTGTTAATACAGTGTCAGCAAAGGGCTCAGAAAATGAACTTTTATCTTTGTGTTTGTAGCATATTAGGCCGGTGTGCACATTTATAATTACATTAATTGTGGTATGGAAAGTGTCAACAAGTACCACGAGCCCATGTGTCCTCATATAAACAGTAGCCTGGTCTTCGGAAGTGCACACTCCACTTCAATGAAGTCTAACTTCCCCTATACTTTCAGTTACATTTTGTACTATGAGGCGGTCGCTTTAGTGCCAGAGGACCTGTTTTGTCTCCTGCTAAAGTAAATACATCCAGCGGCATAAACCTCCACACATCAGTGTTGAGGTGTTTCTATACTAGATGTTGAGGCGCATGCGTGGATACTGGTGTTTTGCTGAGTGTGTTCAGCGGCATGCCTGCCAGCTCCTCTTTTCCTCTTTATGGCCTTGGATGTGGTAATGCTGAGCTGGTCTCCAGAGACATCTCAGCAATCAGGGAGGAGTAGGACTCAGCTCAGCCTCTCTGAAAAAGGAGAAGGGTGGCGGGGGGGGTTGGATGAATGGATGGCTCAGCTTCTTTATGATGCAGAGGGATGGAGGAGGGAGAGAGAGTGGATTGAGTGGGAGAGAGCAAGATATGAATGGATGACAACTGGAGGGATGCAAAGATGGATGAATATGAGAGAGAGTAAAGGAAGATAAATGGGTGTGCAGGTGTGTTTGTGTGTGTGTTTAAGTGGGAGTGTCAGTGGGTGGATGAATGGTCAGACGCATGATGGATTAAGTATACAGGGAGGGGAGGAGAATCTATTGCCCCTCGCCCCCTGCTCAGCATCCACTGACCCCATAAGTTTTATAACATGTGAGTCCGTAGTCCATGTGACAAATGGACAGGGAGAGCAGTGGATGACTGATAGTGGGAGAAACAGTGGAAGGAGCATGTTCTGGCTGGCCATGATTCATAGCATAGAGATGAGAGCTAAGAACGATGAGGAAGGAAGATATACCATTCTTTTCACTTACCAACATGAAAATCTGCTTGGCTGTTAGTGTGGATTAATTTCAGACTTGTGCTGAGATTCCTCACTCTGAAATTAAAACACACAAGCTCTGTCTTACCACATTTCTTTCCCAGACGTCCAATTCAGTATCAGGCAATTATCAGCAAGGGAGGCTTGTGATAGAGCCAAATGGTTCTCATCACTCATATCGAACCCTAACTCAGGGTATGTATACAGTATATATATAATTTTTTACTCTTTAGTTACAAGTCCTCGTAGCATAGATGGTTTATCAGCTGTGCAAATAGTTGACACACTTGTTGCATGCTTAGTTCAAATAGTTGTGACCCTGGCCTTTTACAAGATGTACCACTGGTCTCAGCAAAACAGTAAATTAAATTTTTTCTTCCTTTTTTCAGTTGTCAACATTCATGACATACTCAACATATAACTCGTATAACGCAATACAATTCAATAGCACCAGAAACTGCAACCCCCAAAATGACATTTTCAACAAAAACTGAACATTATAACTGTCATGAAGGGAGGATTTACGCTCATCGACCACTTCATTAAGAACTCCATACTAACACTGGGACGGGCCTCTCTTTGCTCTCAAAACAGCATCAGTTCTTCATTACATTGACTCCACAAGATGTTGGAAACTTTGCTTTGAGATTCTGCTCCTTGTTGACTCGATCGCGTCACATCATTTCTGCAGATTTATCAGCTGCACATTCATGCTGCCAGTCTCCTGTTCTACCACATCCCAAAGGTTTTCTACTGGATTCAGATCTGGAGACTGACGAGGCCACTGAAGTTCACTGAACTCATTGTCATGTTCATGAATTTAGTTTGAGACGTCTTTTACTTTGCGACATGGTGCATTATCATGCTGGAAGTAGCCATTAGAAGATGGTAGGCTGTGTGACGCACATGGTCAGTAACAATACTCAGATAGGCTGTGACATGCAAACCATGATTGATTGGTTTTAGGGGTTTAAAGTGTGCCAAGAAAATATTCCCCACACTATTACACCACCAGCCTGTACTCTTGACACAAGGCAGCTTGGGTCCATGGATTCATGCTGTTGATGCCAAACTCTGACTCTACTATCAGTGTGCCTGGGCAGAAATCCAGATTCATCAGACCAGGTTACATTTTTCCAGTCTTCAACTTTCCAGTGTTGTGAAGTTAGTGTCCACTGCAGCCTCAGATTTTATTTCTGTTCTTGGCTGACAGGACTTCTGCTGTTGTAGAGACCAGAGAGGATGTTGGCAGTTTCAGAAATACTAAAACCATCTCATCTGGCACCAACAATCATGCCACAGTCAAAGTCAATGAGATCACGCACACGCACACGCACACGCACACACACACACACACACACACACACACACACACACACACACACCCCATTCTGATGTTTGATGTCAACATTAACTGAAGCTTCTGACCTGTATCTGCAGGATTTCATGCATTGCACCGCTGGCACGTGATTGGCTGATTGGATAATTGCACAAATAAGCAGGTGTACAGGTGTTCCTAATAAAGTGCTTGGTGATGTGATTGCCCTCATGAATTTCAATGTGTTTTATTGTTGATAATCAATTCATTTTAGTTAACAGGACTGTATTCCCTGCCTCCACTGCATTAACTTAGCCTTGAAAATGTTCACTGTTGAATCAAAATGTTCTGTTAAATTAGATTTATTTGGAACTATTGGTACAGGGTGCATCTTTTCTTTTTGCCTCAAAACATTAGAATCAAACAGTGTAATTCATCGGTGGCAGGGTAGGCCTTTTAACTTTGTGTTTTGCATTAATTATCATTTTTAGCATGCGGGATGTCATGTGATATCTAGCATGTAACAAAATACAAAGGAGCAGGTCAGTACCAGTCCTTGATCTTAAATGTACATGAATTTACTTGACTGTTGGCCAAGTGCAACGCACTCAACCTGTAACTATATGTTTGAACTTAAGGTTATTGTATTGTTCCTGTACATACCGGATATTCTGCTGTCTTTGTCATTAAACTGACTAATTGTTTTGTCCATGAAATGTCAGAACAAGCTGAAAAAAGTCCACAACAGTTTCCCAGAAACAACCGACGTCTTTAAATTCTGACCAACACTACAAAAAAAAGAAAGAAAGAGAGATTAAAGTTAAAATGATACAAAGCAGAGAAGCAGCAAATCCTCGCATTGGAGGATGTTTGGCATTGCTGATGAGTTAGTTGAATAGTTCAGCAATTTAATCAAAAATGTTATCAAAATTGCTGCAGATTAATTTCAGATAATCCTTTCAGCACTCGAGTTCTGCTCACTTCTTTTTTTGGTCACAGGCTTCACAGTCTCTTCATGAATCTGAAAGCCTCCTCTGCTATTGTTCTTTATTTGATAGATGGCATTAGCCAGAGATCCAGGGGCAGGCCCGGAGCAGAGAGATGCAGCTGACCAAAACTTTGACTACATGTTCAAGCTGCTGATCATCGGCAACAGCAGCGTGGGAAAGACCTCCTTCCTGTTCCGCTATGCAGACGACTCCTTCACATCAGCCTTTGTCAGCACAGTGGGCATTGATTTCAAAGTCAAAACCATCTACAGGAACGACAAGAGGGTCAAACTACAGATCTGGGTAAGACGGAAGAATACAGTGCAACGTTAAAAGATATATGCTGAATAATACACACACTGAAGGAAGATCAGTGTATGTATGTAGATTATTTAACGGACAAAATGTAATAATTCTGTCCTGACACAAACAAGTCTCTCAAAACATGAATGTGCATCTTACCACTGCATCCACAGTCGGACTGTAAGTGTTGTTTTTGATGAAAATTAGCTGTACTTGTGTTCGATAGAGCCACATTCTTTTCCCAGTTAACTTTTCTGTCCATGGAGCAAACTAAACTGGGAACAAAAGAAAACTATAAAAGAAAAAACTTGCAATAGAAAGATATCCAAGAACAAAAGTTGCTTAGTTCCAACTTTGTCATCATTATTCAGATTTTCCTTCGACTTCGTGCACTGAAACTGTTTGCCATTACACACACATAGTCTGGTTTCTCCTCTACAGCAGGAAGAAAGTGTGGCAGTTGGGCAGATAAGGGCCAGAGCACACTCCGACTCTCGTTGACTCAGGGAAAGATGTTTGCTCAGTCCAGAAGTTGGGAACTGAAATCTTGCAGACAGAGTTACAGTTTGACCAGATTTCACTCTAATTAATCTGGCTCACAGACATTTAGATTACCGAGTTCAAAAACCTGATGTATATGGTTTGTTTTTAACCACTTTAAGATACTTTACTACTAGTGGCAATTGCTTGACATCCCAAACAGCCTTGAAAAATTAGAAACAGTCACCTTGTTTTGCCCGGGGCTAGTTCTGCTGGACCAAAGCCATGTATCTGCAAACAGAACTGATGTAGGTCATTGGAAGTGGTTGACAACACCAAGATATTTGCATTAAAGATGTTGATATTTGCAAATCTTTACTGTGTATTTGACTATGAAAAGTGCATAGTGCTTTTTCTATAATTCTAATATTTGCAGATTCTAATGTTTGCAGAGCTGCAAATGACAGAGAAACCATGATGGATAAAAACTCTGTATTAAAACCCACCTAAACTGCTAATCCATCCATTGCTGTGGGTGGGTTAGCAAAGTAGCCATCTCTCCCACTGATCAGAAGGGAGTTTTTGGCAGGTATATATTGGCTTTTAACTAAACAGATTCACAAAAAAAAACCTTATATAACAATTGAATTAATGTAAATCAAATTGCTTTGCAGGTTTTTCAGACATTTTTATGTAACTGTGTTTAGGAAGAAACAAAATTCCACATTGATCAAATGGCCAACACTGACCCACTGTATCAGAAAAGCCATAAATGGACCACACTCACTCACACGTCCCAGTAAGGAAGCATAGATTCTTTTTCAAAAAGGATAAAGAAACAGCTGGCCACCTCTGGACAAAAACATGATAGTTAAACTGTTGTTAAATTAGTTTCACAGGATTAAGGCTTATAGTGAGTCGACAGCAGAAGTGTCGTATTAGAAAGAGCTGTGACACTCACATCACTGAGGTCTGAAATGCTCCTAATAATTTCTGTTAGAGGCTTTTTCGTTCCCTATGATGGATAAAAAAATATATATATTCATAATATACTGAACAGCAGACATGTTCGAGAGTATATGAGCAACACTGAGTATAAAACGCTGCAGTCGCTTTAATGTCAGAGCTGTAATTTACTTAAGGTAATTAAAGGCATTTACCTGGGGGTTGAGAGGGTCTAAAATGCAGCTTCAACCAAAGCCAGAGTGAATGGTGCTTTTGAAAGCGTTGTTACACAACACAGACTGTTTATCCTCACCCCATTCCCTAGATTGCCCTCCTGCACGCCGCTGCCTGTCATGGATGTGGCATAAACTAATTTCTCACAGTCTGGAGTTAATGACAGTTGATGTTTAACATCGTCCCCAGACGGCAGGGTTCATGAAAGATGCATGGGTTGGAGCTGCCGGAGCTGAATGTGCCTACTGCGCAGACTGACACCCAGGACAGATCTATTACTGAATGTTAGTGGAAGGCGAGGACTTACCCACAGTACTCGTGTTAGATGAAAGTAATACATCTTTTCTTTTCCTTTTTTTTTTTTTTTTTTTTTTTTTTTTTTAAGCGTAATGGATTCAGAGTAGCATGGCTTCTCTGCTCAGCTTAACAATGATACAGTTGCATAATTTTACACGAGGAAAGTGCCAAGTACAAGTAAAAAGTTATTGGCTGCTGAACACCTTGAATGGGTTTCATGGGAGCATTAAAACAACCTCAACTCATTTTGTAACACTGCACCAAAGTCGGGCGTACAAGGGTTTGAGACAGTGGTAACATCTTATACTGACAAGCCCCAAATCTCCATCTTTAGAGTGCCCAGGTTAATATTTGGCATTACTTTTCATCAGCTAGATTAATCTGCATTATTTAATGATCCAATTTTAATGTGTCCACAACAACAATTTCATTTAATGGTTTAACTGTTTTCCCATAATCAGCATAAAGAAGACAAATAACATCCTCAGAACTTATTTTTGTCCCTGAAGGCATAGCCAAAAGGCAGAGAGCACATCCTGGTGTATTTACAGGGTGTGGCAACATCAGCACATGATGGGAGGGATTAACTTCTGAGTTAATGATTCATCTCTCCTTCTCAGGACAGCCAGGTCAACTATTTGTTTCCTTCTCTCAGAAAAAAATTTTCATTTTCAGTTCGGGAATAATTTGAAGTGTTTATCGTTAATATTAATGATGAGGTTTGGGCTATGTTGTATGTATTGGAATTTCATGTCAGTTCAGTTGTCAGTGGTAATTTTAGTTTCCCTGTCACCCAGTCTTCATGTGACCTCTGTGAATTCACAGTTTCCTTGAGATTGTTGTGTTTTAAACAGTAAAAGTAACTGATCCCAAAGCGTACCAGAATTTCTCAGATGAACTGTGTGTGTGTACAGGACACAGCAGGGCAGGAGCGCTACCGGACCATCACCACAGCGTACTACAGAGGAGCCATGGGATTCCTGCTCATGTACGACATCACGAGCCAGGAGTCGTTCTACGCTGTTCAGGACTGGTGGGTACAGCTATAGGTATAATAAAGATAGATAGATACTTTATTTATCCCCTAGGGGAAATTCATGTGTCCATTAGCTCATTGTTGATGATGATAATAATAATATTGATAATAATAATAATAATAAAAACAGTTAATAGACAAACAATAATAATTAGATTAGTCCACTTCCTTTGGCTGGAGTGTTGTATAACCTGATGGCAGTGGGAACAAAGGATAATGTCATACTATTAAGTCTGAATACGTGGTGCGTGTGTGTGTGTGGGTCCTAGTGCGGTTGACAAGCAAGACGACGAACAAGCTATACACCTACAAATCTGGACCAATGAATATTTCTCGCATTCTATATCATTCCGAACATAAAAAACCGATTCTTAGTTAACCGCGTAGTATTCTAAGTCATAATCAACCTATCTCCGTGTGGGTGTGTGTGTGTGGCGCGATTGGGTTGTGTGGTCGTTGTGTGCCGTGCTTGCTGTGTGCCACAAGTGAATGCCGACATTTGTGCTGTGTTGTTCCTCCACAAATCGTGTGTGTGTGTGTGTGTGTGTGTGTGTGTGTGTGTGTGTGTGTGTGTGTGTGTGGCATTTGTAAAGGGATATGTTGTTTTGATTTTCTGTTTGTTTGGAGACACCCTGTCCTTTTGTTACATGTTAAATTAACAAGATGAAACTTGGGGAAATTGTTCCATTTCTGCTGTAACAAAATTTGGCAAAGAAAAATAGAGCATATTCATAGACACGGTTTTCATATAAAGAACAAATCTGATGATTTCACTCTAGTCATTGCATAATATAATAGTATAAGAAGCTGGAGATAACCATATTAAAATCCTGCAAAATAACAGCAGTAGTGGGATTACTAAAACAAGAATTAAATAACAGTAAATGAAAAAGAAAAAAAGTATCAAAAATAAAAATACGCATACTTATTATAATGTTATTTATAACAGTATTTTTACTTATTATATTTATTGATTTATTAATCTATACTTACTATATTGCTACTGTATATATAGATCATATTATTGGAATATTATTTCTGATGCTTTAACAAGTAAGCAGCATTTTAGTGTCACAGCTGGTTGAGGCGGAGTTAATTTTAACTTCTTACACTGCGGGAGAGTTCGATCTATGCATATTATGCATATTATGTTATGCAAGCAATGCATAACATTTTGTAACTTGATCATATGTTTATATGTAATATTATAATTTGCAAACTAGTTACTTAACCTTTCAGATAAATGTAGTAAATAAAAAGTACAATATTGTTAAGTAATTTTAAGTAATTAAAAATTGACCAAAATATGGTACTTGAGTAAATGGACTTTGTTGCTTTCCAGTACTTTCTTTGAACATCTCAAATTGTTGATGATGCACGTTTTCAGTGTAAGAAATGCATATATACAGGGCTAAAAGAGCACCAGATTTTGCTCAGTGTTGTGAAGAGACAGATGGTCACTGCAGGACAGGTGGTTGTGAAAATGTTGTGCTGGTGTTTCCCAGGGCAACCCAGATCAAGACGTACTCGTGGGACAACGCGCAGGTAGTGCTGGTAGGCAATAAGCTGGACCTGGAGGAAGACAGGCAGGTTCCCACCCAGGATGCCCAGAGACTGGCCACAGAGCTCGGTCAGCACACACACACACACACACACACACGCACACACTTTTATCACATGCTCAAGAGGACACACAAACCAAACCTTACTTACTAATCATAACTCATACTGTTTTCTTTTCTCTCTCTGTCTCTCGACTCGCTCTTCAGGCTTCCAGTTCTTCGAGGCCAGTGCCAAAGACAACATAAACGTGAAGCAGGTGTTTGACAAGCTGGTGGACGTCATCTGTGAGAAGATGAACGAGAGCGTCAACGGTGATGCCAGCCCGTCAGCCGCTCACAAGGGGGATGGCCTGAAGGACACGCCCCACGGCAGCCAGCGTGGCTGTGCATGCTGATGACTGACAGTGGAAATTCATTGAGCGTGGGTTTCATATTCACACACACATATGCACACACACATACACAGATTGATTGAATTGCCAAAAAAATCTGCCATTGTGAATGTACTTTACCATATGTTACTGCAATACTATCACGGATGCTATACTCTCTTGTTTTTCTTGTTATCTTCCTCATAATTTGAATGGGACTGTTACACCGAGATGCCAAAGAGCTGTGTGGAGCAGCTGTGCCTTCTGCCCAATGCCTGTGCTTCATTATTTTCTTGTTTAATGGGTGAGCAGCACCTGTTGGAGGTGAGGATGTGAACAAAAGGCATGAACCAAATCAAGCCTGGCATTGGGGGTGATTTACTTGTGTCCTGCTGCCCCCTTGTGGGTGTCAAGTGAAAATGCATCAGTGTGACTCACTGCCCAACAGTTTATACTATATTGTGTCAATTAGCTCCTGCTAAGGACTAAGGCCCACTGTTCAGTACAAAGTCAAACAAACCTGAAGGGTGCTGTGTCATTCCAGGTGTATGTGTGTAATCCAGGCTTGTTATTAGAGTTTTGGAGGGATATTCTCATTTTCTTTTAATTTATATTTTACTTTTTTCTTTTTTTGTACTTTTAATGGTTAATGCTTGTCCAACATTTCATTTGCCAGGTTTATTGTGTCCCTCTAAAAATTGAGATTAAAAAATATGGATTAATACAATACAATATGTCTGTTGGTTTTCATTTGTCATTTGAAGTAATTTCATGTTATTTTTCTGTATTAAACAACATTTCTGAATGTAGGAAAAGTGTGATAGGTTTCCAGAGGTTTCCACTCAGTAATTAATCATCATAAAATGGAATCAATCATGTCATAAATCTTATCCCTAAAGTTTTTTTTTTCCATTTATTGGAACATAAAACATTCATCAGGTTTGTGTTTATGCTCAACATTAAATTATTTAATTCCTTTGATTAGCTCCTTTTTGTGCTCTTTTTGAAATTATGCTGCGAGTTAATGTGAGAAATCATTTTATTTTGACCTAGAATTGGTTGTAAAATTTTAGGTGATAAAAGTTTCTGTTTTTGAAGGGACTTTGGACACCAGGAAATGTTGCCTACCATGAACGCAAAGTCAGTGACGTGTAGGGTATGAACTCCCTTTTTCCCTGTGTGTGTGTGTGTGTGTGTGTGTGTGCGTGTGTGTGTGTGTGTGTGTGAGAGAGAGAGAGAGAGACATACCTGTGAGAAGATAAAGGGGCATGTGAAAGCCTCGTTGAGCAGACACTCCTCATTGATCAGACCTCAGCTGGCAGACGGCCGTCAGTTCAGAACAGGTACGAGTTTCATGGTTTTTCACACTTTTTAATTCAAATATCCAACTATATACTCAACAACCAAAATCATTTTAATTCTAATCTAAAAGAAAATTACAGAAAATGAGTATATAACATGATCCAGCACGCAGGATGTTTTCAGACAGAACTCTTCATCTACAACATTGAAACAGGTATTATATTGTTTTATTGTTGTGGCTGATCAGTGTGTATCTGTGGCCTGGTGGTTCATTCTGAACCGTCCGTAAAAACCTATTTTGTAGTTTCGATTATTTTATGGCCTTGTGGCTTGTGGCTTATTGTGGCTGAGTGGTGAATGTACAGTTTAAACAAGTCTGAAACAGAGGGATTAGTTTTTGTATTTCATATATTATGTTTTTATATTTCTTTTGTAATCTTAAAGATTCATCTTTCAAAGTGAGGTCATGCTTGTCATGATTGTCATTTTGTATGAGGGGCTGTCATAATAAACCACTTGCTTGCTTAGGAACAGTTAGCAGTGTAACCAGTAACAGACTGAATAAACCAAGTATTGTTCAGTCCTCAGTTCTTTTTTAACAGTATATACCGTATTAAACTGACTCTACACAGTACAGGAAATTAGTTTTTACAGCTGATGTAGGAACCTTCAAATTTTTCTAGAAGTAGCATTAAAAACTGTTAATTGTCCTGTTTTGCTGCCTCAAGGCTGTGATGAAACATATTCAGATAAAAAACATGTGATTTTATAGGTGTTATTGGAACATTTTATTGCCTCTTGGAAACAAGGTAACAGTTGCCAAGTAGGTTCCTACTGTCTGTTATCGTCAAAGCTGCAATAAGGAAGAAAAAAAAATCAATAACTATAAAGCTGATCTCATTTCACTGATACAGAGAGCAGATGGAAACAAAGTTGAGCAAGGTTGGGGACAAGGGTATGTGTTTTATGGTTCTTCTGAGCTACTTTAGGGCGACAACCAGTAAGCACATAAGATATCTTTACCATTTATCATGAACACATCAGTGGAGTTAGTTACACTCCACCTTTTTAACCTGTATTTCATAGATTTAATGGCATACTGCAGAAAAGACACTTTTATTCTCTGCTGACAGAGACATGGGTTATAATATTTAAGGTAACATTGATAAAGAGCACCACAGTATGATAAAACTGTTCATACACTTTTACAATGAAGGGGACAAAAGTTCAAAGCTGATTTTTTGATTGGTGATTTTTTTCTCCTCTGCACCACATGTAGTCTCTGCACATATCACGTGATTCAAATGTGTGCTTGTTGATGATTTAAATAGCATGCACGCAAGTAAAATTTCAAATAAAATGAGGATACGAACGTGCAGCTTATTTCACATTTCAACCGAAACTTAGATTACGTCAGTATGAAAACTGACGTTTAAGATTAAGACCCCTTCTGTTTTCCTGCAAGTTACGGTGGTTAATGTGTAACCAAAGCAAATGCTATTTGACCCACGTTGGTGCTCGCTTGTGTTGTAAGTCAGCTCTATACAATTGATTTTCCTATGAGAGGTAAAATGCAAAGTTGTCCTTCCAAATCTCCTAAGCAATAAATGAGTTAGTAAGTAAGTGTGACTAAGTGTACACATTAGTTTTCAGCTGAACTCACACACTATTTTCTTCTCTTTTTTTTAACAGTGTGAAGAAGAAAGAAAATAAAAAAGCCAAGATGTGTTGCTCCGGCCTTCTCAAAATGATGATGTTTATCTTCAATGGCTGCATCTTCGTAAGTTAAAAAAGAAAATCTTCTGCTTCTACTGTCAAGCTCTATTTCATGTTTCATACAGAAACAACATCAGTGCAAAAGATATTTCCTTATGCTTTGTACAATATTCTTTTACAGCTTGAAAAATGGAACTGTGTACTTCCTGTATTCAGTGATAGTTTAAAAGAACAGCTTAACATTTTGGGAAATACACTTAGATAGATGAGAGGTTTTTACATGTAAGTTAAATATAAAACTAGAGCTGGGAGATGCTTAGCTTAGTTTAGCTTAGCATAGCTCAGCATAAAGACTGGAGACAGGGTGAAGCCTCTGGAAAAATCCTCTGAAAAAATTAAGCATGTGTCTAAGGTTAACTGTTACATTAAATGATTACTTTGTAAGCATGTGGAAAACTACAATTCCCATGAAAAACTACATCATTATAACTTGGTTTTGTCCATATCCATAAAATTGACAACTCTTTATTTTTTCCAACTTTCTAGTTGTTATCTCTGTTGTATAAAAGCTCCTACAGCGTTTGCTCCTCACCTCTCTATCGTGCTGTTATTGGAACCATCTTTTGTCAGGCTGTGACATTTAACCTGCAAAAGTCAAGGAATTACGGGAAATGCTGTTCTTTAAAGGCTGCTAAAAAACAGAACTATAGAATAAACAATGACATGAAATTGTTATTTTTAAATGACCACACTCATCTAAATACAAGGAGTTAACCACAACACTGTTGAGAAAGGCTCTGTTCCCAGGCAGGATTTGTCGTCATTTGCTGTATTACAAATGGTAGTGGGATTTTAAATGAAACTGAAGCTTCATATTTACCATGTACACATGAGTGGCATCAACCTTCTCATCTAATGCTCAGCAAGAAAGTGAATAAATTTACTTTCTTAAATTTATTTTTGATTATCTCAAAAATGATTTAGTCTGAATAACTTTTATATTTTAACTTAATATTTAATCAATAATACGTCTTATAAATTGTTCTCAGGCTGAACTCCTGCTCTTATTGTTACTGTCTGATTGTTAACAAAAACACCTCTTTCTCTTCTCCTTTCTCCACCCATCATGCAGTTGGCAGGTGCAGCCATCCTGGGTGTGGGAGTGTGGCTGAAGGTGGACAGTGGTTCTTTACTGGGTATACTGGATAATGTGGACAATGCACCATCTGGGATATCCCAGCTAATCAACGTCACCTACCTGCTCATGGCAGTGGGTGGTGTGCTGCTGGTCATTGGCTTCCTGGGCTGCTGTGGAGCTATCAAGGAGAGCAAGTGCATGCTGCTGACGGTAAGCGATGTTTGATAGGTCAACACCAGAGACTTAGTTTGAGAGCTGACCAAAGGGACATAAATCTCCTTCTTTTGAAATAGTAATGAATTTTAATTTATAATTCAAGAGCACAGAAAACTACATTTCACATATTTTGGTCCAAGCTGGACCAAAATAGTAAATTCTGGTGATGGGGAATGTTGAAATGTTAGATTATTATTTCACCTTAGAATGCTCTCTCATACAATTCAGATGGATACAGTGACTCTGAGAGGAAGCTGTTAAGACTTTTAGCACTTAACTTTAGGTTTGATCTCTGCAGTGTGTACCGATGTTACATCTGCATTAAAGTTCTTTGTCCAAGCCTGTTTCTCACTCTGTTGGCTTGATTTTACAGATGCATAATGCTGCTACTAATCAAATATTTTACAGTGAGAGTTTTGCAACATTATTTATCATTTCTTCTCCACTCAGTTCTTCAGTATTGTGCTGATCATCTTCCTCATCGAGGTCGCAGGAGCTATTGTGCTGTTCGTCTTCCAGGGTTTGGTAAGTGGCTTTCGAAAGCTTCTTGGCAACAACTGCCAGCAGTCAGGTTTACAAACTTTAATATACATACATATATATATATATATGTGTGTTTGTGTGTGTATAAAGTAAAAAATATGATGATGTGCTATTGTCTATCTGTCCTTCTCAGGCTGATGAACTTCTCTCTGATCTGGAGCATGAAGTTATATTGAGCATTAAAAAAGACTATGGAAGCAGTGAACCTTTAACCTCTATCTGGAACGGCACCATGGATGAGGTACTGTATTTTTTGAGTGGACTCTTTCAACCTTAGATATACACATCTCTGTTGTCACAGGCAATTATGTGATCCACTTTTTGAGATGAAAGTAGTGACTGTCTGAGTTTACGCCTCAGCCAATACTCAACTCTTTGATTCCTTCAACATGTACACCCTCGTACTGTCTCTTATTTTACCATGTTACGCAATTGTGTCTGAATCTTTTTTTCTTTTTTTTTTACATTTCCATAATTGAGCTGCTCACACCTCTCTCCTCACTGTAACACTATAACACTTTGTGGTTTCCTTCTAGTTTAAGTGCTGTGGATACAGGAACTACACAGACTTTGACAATTCCCCTTTTTACAATGAGGGTAACGGAAAGTTTTATCCGACCACATGTTGCAATGCAACCCTCATCACCTCGGATGAATGTGCTGCAGAGATTGCAGAAGTTTCGGTAAGAAACCATGTTACTTTTGCTTTAACTTCATACATGTTAACAACATTGATTGTGATGAATTGCACCAGTCACTCCCTACCTCTGCTAAATCCTGCTGTTTCTCTTCCAGATGATTGACGGCTGCTACTTCAAGCTGCTGCAGCTGATAGAGGACAATGCTGTGATCGTTGCAGCTGTGGCTCTTGGAATTGCTGCTATTGAGGTACAGAAAACAGCTTATTAACAGGTTATTTACATCTGTTTAGAAGAGTTGTGTGTTCTCCGCAGTTACTTTGATAGAGTGCAATATATGTTAAGACTCTCATATTGTTATTAAATCTTTCCTCATCTTCATACACTTATTAATGACACTGGTATACAGAGTATTGGCAGACTCTACAATTTACAGATGTTCCCTGAATGCCTAACATGCAGGCAATGGATAGACACTAGCTACAGCACACACATCAAGGGCCGCCACTTAGGGGAGCAGCAGTGCACTGTAGTGTCTTTATGGGAGGTTTAAGGTGGTTTATTGTTGTAAATACAAAATGTGCCAATATGAGGGGCTACTGGGGGGCCCCCCAAGGGGAAAACCTCTCCTGCACCTTTGGCCTTAATATCTACCCATGGTTTTGCATATTTCACAAAACTATTGCATTACAATAAAACAGACAATATGTAATAACTGTCCACAAAGCCAATATCATAACTGTGCTAATGTGTCTGTGGACACTCATGTACGATGAGGCCTATGGTGTATTTTGGATTACAAAATTTCTTTATGGAGCATTTGAATGAATCTTTTTTTTTAATTTTTTTTTTTTACACGATATATGATGTTGAGGATTGCTGATTTTTATTGTCAATCATCATCACACATAATTGAGGTCTACTCAGGTTCTGCTCCTCATGATTTCCATTTTCCTTGTCGGTGGAGTTGGCTTATATATACGTTTATGGAGGGAAGAGACAGTGCATGGCTTTTTCATAAATTTATTGTATACGTCATAATGTGCAGTCTATAACCTGTGTGTCATCTCTACTATACATTGTGTTTACATGAAATGGTGATGACCCGTTGTCTTTGCAGATTGCTGCCATGGTGGTTTCGATGATTCTCTACAAGAACATTAAGTGATGTGTCCCGTCAGAGATGAGATGACAATATTGTGATTGGTGGAGAAATTTTACTTGGTGTAAAGTTTATTTTCTTTTCCTTTGATTCAAAACAGACAGATAGATAGATAACCTAACACATGCATTATTGGCATGTAGAGCATTAAAACCAAAGATGGAGAGGTAGATGTTTGAGCTACTGTGTTTTTCCATTTCAAAACTGTATCTGAACGCACTTATACTGTGATTTATTTATGTTTTCAGAAGGGCTGTTGTCAGATGATATTCTATGTGCTGAAACATATGGCTGGTAATGTGTAATGATGCACAGAGCAGAGAAGGATCTTCGCAAGTTGTGTCAGTTGTTTCTGTCCCACACATTCACTGCAATAATATGATAAATTTATTTTTGTATGTTTGATCATATATAAATAATAAATGTCACAATCTTGACTTTTACAATTATCAACAAATTGATTATGGTTTTCTTTTTGTGGCAATAGATCTTTTAACATTCACATAAAATGGATTCTAGACTGAGGCAAACAGGAAAAAGTAACTAAACATTAGAATGTAAACTGTGGGCCTGTGAGTAGATATACGACACCATTATCATTATAGAAAGAAACATAACATTTCATTTAAGTCAGGAATATTCTGCCAGTGCTGCTAGTTTTATCTGATCCCACACAGGAGCAGTTACCCTTATTACTGAAGATAAGAGCATAACAATCAAAAATGATGACACCACAGGAAAAAAACAATTGAAGTCAGTGAACTCTCTCTAACACCAATCATATTAATTTTATATTAATGCATACGCTTTATAGTATGTTAACTGCAAATCCCAAGTGGCTGAATGAAAGCAAGAAGTTCTGCCTTCAACAAACTGCTGCAAATTTTGTCAAGTCAAGCCAATTTTACTTTGTATAGCGTCAATTCACAACAGAGGTTATCTCAAGGCACTTTCCAAATAGAGCAGGTGTAGACGTACTCTTTATAATATTATTTACAGAGACCCACCAATTCCTACCAAAGGCAAGCGCTAGGCAACAGTGGCAAGAAAAAAACTTACTCTTAAGAGGCAGAAACCTCGAGCATGACCGGACTCAGGACCGGACTAGAGAGAGAGAGCATGCAAGCAGGAGAGAAAGAGAGAGAGAGCAAGAGAGAGCGCAGAGGAAAAGACAAGAACTGTAATGCTCCTACTGATAAAAGTAATAATGAAAGCAAATAACAGTATTAATTATTATTATTAATTATGGTAAGATTTAGTTAGTTTAGCAGCAGGTGTTAGACAGGATCTTGGGGGCAGTAGGTGGTTTGCAGTTGCAGATCCAGACTCTACAGCTCTGGAGGCAGGGGACCTGCGGAGAGTAACAGGAAGGAGATAGAGGAGAAGGAGAAGGGAGAGAGAGAGGCACACAGCCTGGGCACTCATGTGCTGGGGGGGGGGGGGCACTCTGCAGCTAGCAGACGTCATTTTAACTCTGGGAACAGACAAGAGCCCTAATTCTGGGAACAGAGAGCACGAGATGGAGTAAAGGGTTTAAGCAGATCAGACAGGTATGAAGGAGAAAGTCCATTTAGAACCTTATATGTCTTCAAAAGCACCTTAAAGTCTGATCTCAATATGGACAGGAAGCCAATGTAGGGAAGCTAAAATTGGTGTAATATGGTCAAATTTTCTGGATAATGCTCAGCCATTTAGTCAATAGGAAAAAGTAAGGATTCATTTTGAGTTGACTATATCTACTTTTCTCAGGGACGTAAAACATTCAGAACTAGTAAATATGTGAAGAAATGATTTTTGATTTATATATGAAATACATCATCTGGTTCATCCTTAACAGAGAACATAAGATGTTATAGACGGTTGTTTGCTAGAGCTGCTAAATATCTGTTTTTATTTATACTTACAATTAATCACATGACCACTAGTATGTAATTTGAAATTATCCTCACAAGGTGGTGGAGACCAAAAACAGAGCTAAAAGGAAGAGTGAATTGATGACCTACATTCTTAAGGTGGCCAGAGGCAGACTGCAAATGAATGTTGATGACTGCTGAATATGCAAATAGGAAATGGGTATGGTGGGTAGTTTGTCAATGTTGTGTTGACAGGTTATATCTGCTATACTTAACAAGTGGCCAAAACATCAGTTAATACAGGTTCAGAGAGGGAGAAAGAGCCTGGGAATTTAAAGGGGAAACTCTAGTCAACAGTGATTTTTAAAATGATAAGAAGTTTAAGGTTTTGTTTACAGGACAGTCTTTCTTGGTTCCAGTTTCTCAGCTTTTTAAGCAACTACATGAATTTTTATCTACGCATGCTGGTTAAGGGTAGGTAAGGGATTTTATTACAAGGATGAAAACGCATCTGTGGTTTTAAATGCCTCACAGAGTAAAATAAGTTTTTCATATCAATACTTTCAATCACAAACAGACTGTTTTGGTGCTTTTTGTAATTTTTCTTGCTCATTTTACCTTCATCAAATCCCCCAACAGCCTGTGTGTGTGTGTGTGTGTGTGTGTGTGTGTGTGTGTGTGTGTGTGTGTGTGTGTGTGTGTGTGTGTGTGTTCTGGGATAGTTAGTGGATTGCTGCAAGTGTGTGGCAGGCGATGGACCTTAGTAGTAAATACTATTAATGAACAGCTATTTAATTGCTTGGTGCAAGTTTTACAGTAAGTTGTTCCATGATGTTTAGACTTATGATCCGAACTGCTTTACTTTGCTTTATCCATGTGAGAAAATTACAATTCAAAAGGGTTAATGGCTGCTGATACATTTCGAGACAGGTTACATTACAAAGGACTGATTACAGTGTATGTCAGTGTGTGTGTGTGTGTCTTTAGTGGGGTTTAGTTAGTGACGTTTAATGTGTGCTCACTGCTGAAGAGGCAGGTTCTCCCGTCACATGCTGTGTCAGAGTTACCCGATGACCCTTCTCAGTGGCATCATCTATATTAGTAAAAGTGCTTTCATGGTGGGTAATTCATACTGACACACTGAATTCCTCCTACTCCCAACACAACATGTGTTTTGTATATTTACCATTGTTTATGAATGAATGACTGTAAAAGTAGCATTAATTCATACATTCTTCTATATTTATTACACACTTAGTTACACAAGTGTGAGATTTATGTTTTATCGTATACTGTTATCAAACAGTACAAGAGAAAAGAGCAGCACACAGCAGTTTCCCTGAGGTTTTTTATGGGAACCCACACAGTGGATGAGACAGTCCCACACAGGGTTAAAAGGCAGGATTATCTCCTTTGGGACAGAGCCGCAGGTTCAGCCTCGCTTTAGGTCCTTTTGAAAGTTCTATCTTCAGGAGTCACTTCTTTCAGAGGATCCTCCCATAACCAGGACACAATAATTACCTGAACAATTATTCATATACTAACCTACATACTTTTATTTGGTTTTATTGACATTATTCCTTTTGGCCACATCAGCTCTACAAGCAGGAAGTCAATAAAGAAAGTATTTGGTCTGTTTTCAGTTTATCACAGAAGACATGACTGACTAAACCGTTCCTAAACTGAGTTTCTCCTCTCTGTAAATATGATTCATCATAATTTTCAGTGCCTCGACAACTGCCACATTAAACTCAGTTTAACCCCGGTGAGAGGCTGCAGCAGTGCCATTAGTTCATCCAAATCTGTCACTGAGGCTTTGCAATGAATTATTTAAAAAAAATCTTTTGTTGAGAGACAGTAAATCAATCCTGTACACTAAGTGTGGCAATGCAACAATATAAACAGTTTTTAAATCCACAGTTTATCGCTCATTGAGAACAGGCCCATTTCCAGTAAGTGAGAGAGCAGGGGTGTGAGCAGAGGTTACAATGCTTTGGAAACTGTGCCCTCTTGTGGAAAAAGTTTGTTCTGCAGTTGCAGAAAGTGATTTTTCCCACAGTAAGACTGATACTGAACACAACCTCACACGTTCTACATGACCTAGTATTGTGACTGCTCAGGGAAGTTGGTAGACCTCACCAACCAGTGTGTGAATGTCCCAGGTTAGTGTAGGTGAGGAAGTCTTCAAATTAAAACACCATGTGTTATTTAACCTTTCCTTTCTTGCATCTATCTGAACCATGACGTTTAGTGGGTGGAAGGGAAACAGACCTGGAAAAGGGGCAATAGGTTAAAGTGCCTCTTAATACCCATGTCTCTATGAGAAAGTCAAACACCCTGTCCAATAAAACACTGTAAGCAGGTCAGGCCATCAACAGCCAGTGTGTGATCAGGTCACGGGTGACAGAGCGCACTGAAGTCTAATGGTGTAATGATGGGACGTCAAGGGAGAGGCTGGGAAGCTGCTCATGGGAATAAATGGGCAGGAGACAGCTTGTTTACACAGAGAACATAAACTCATTATTGCTTTATAGCCAAAGGGTTACAAGAACACCTACTTAAAAAGAAGGGCTTTATTGTTGACTACATTTTTAACTACAGCAGTGTGCAGCAACTGTTTCCAAAGCATACTGTGTTTTATTGCTGTCTTTTAGTCCGATCTGCAAGTTCAGTATATTTAGGGTTTATCTTCAGTAATGTATGTTTTTTTTTTTACACGAATTCCATGATGGTGCTGAAAACTAATATCAAATTATCTGCAATTCCCAGTATGCAAAATAATAACAATATACTGTAATTAATAATATTTGCTTGTTGATTGTGGTTTTAAAGAAACGTGACATGTCAGGCAACACTATCCACCACAGCCATGAAAATAACAAATTAAGTAACATCTTTTGGACGAATGGATTTCACACTTCCTCTATGTCCAGATATTTAAAATCTATGCCAAGTAGGACCGAAGCTGCTCTGGCAGCTCGTGGTTGTTTTTCCTATAGTTTTCCACCTAACTCAAGATTAAGCTTCTAAATCTAGTGGGATTTTCACTATCTAAACAACTGAAAACTCAGCTGTGTCCATGGAATCAACCTTCAGATTACATTATTCTGAAACTCAGACATCAGAGAGACACCTTCAGATGTTATTTTTTATGACCGTGTTTTTAACGCTCACCTTGAAACTAAAATCCTCTCAGTCTGGCAACCATCCACGACCTGGAGTTTTAAGCTTGGTGTGATGTCCGGTCTGGTGTGGGAATTGCGACACCTTCTTTGCGTTGAAAAACAGGTGAGAACCCGGCAGCTACCTATATAAAAGACTCCCTCCATCACACTGACAAAGCACTGACAGCAAGGTTGCCACTTGTAACCTTGGACCAAACCACCAGACAACTGTTGCTGTAACTTTAGTTTCTATTTCTCTAAATCAACTTTGAGAAGCATCTTTTTTTGTGTCAAACTATGGCTTTCCTTGTCAGCCTTGTCTTTTTGTCATGTTGGACAACTGTAGCTTTTACATTTCCTCACAACACTTTTGTCAACACTTTGAAAGGGTCAAGGGTGGAATTTGAATCCTCTGGCAGTGGACCAGATGAACCTTTTCGAGGAATAGTCAAGGTTGTGCAGCTGGACCCTCACACCCTGGCCCAGTCAGGGTTCTTCAAAAGGGGACTGACCCCGAGAAGAGCCCCCTCCCTCAGCTCCAGATCGTCCTTCCCTGCCTTCTTGTCTCAGGGGCGTCCAGGTCTGGCCCCAGCCTCCAAGACCTCTGTGAGTCCGCTACACCACCTGCACCCTAAAAGCTCTACTGAAATTGAACTAAAGAAGAGTCAAGGCCTGCAGATGTGGCAGAGAGCCATAGATAAAAGAGAAAAGACCATGTCCCTGCCAGTCAGCCTGAAGGACACTAAACAGACCTGCACTGCAGTATCTTTCACTCAGGTAAGAGGCAAAGATTTTTATATAATGTGTTATGCCAGAACTTTATTTGCTTTCTCTGCCAAATAGACTTCTGTGCACACATAGAAATAAAATCCATGGACAAGTGCATTAAGATGACTGATTCTTTACACAGTCAAATAGAAATTAACAATGTTTGGAGCTGTTGATTTTTCAGTAGCAATTAGAGAAGTGTCTGTTCACTCATAAAGCTGATTATGGCTCTGGAGGTGGATTAGCTGTGATGGTGTGGACTTACATAAACACAGTATTGATTTTGAAACCCTAAGAGGGAATTTAATACTGACAATATTGTCGTGATGTTCAGCCTAATATTGTCCTTCTCTTTCATCTCCTCGCAGCGTGTGACAGCAGACGGATGTGACACAGTGACAGTGCACAACAAGCTGTGTTTCGGTCAGTGCAGCTCCCTGTTTGTCCCATCTGAAGGGGAGTTTGCTGGGTTGGGTACCGGGACAGGGCCCCTTCGTCGCCGGGCCCCCTGCTCACGCTGCGCCCCATCCAAAGCTCACACTGTCACTGTGCCCCTGCGCTGTGGAGCCGAGGTCCGGGAGAGGCGAGTGATGATGGTGGAGGAGTGCAAGTGTGAGACGGGCAGTGAGGAGAGGAGTGTCGAGGCTGCAGCTTCCATGCAGCTGTAACTGTTTTACAGCTGTTGTAACAAAAACATATCATGTTCGTTTTGTGAATACTGTGATAATTCAGTTACAGCTGAAATAGAGGAATGGAGGCAAGTAAAGTTTTTCATTTGGACTGACGCCTTTATTCTCTGTCAAATCACACTTTAGTTGTAATCGATGTTTGCATGTGTAACTGTTTGTGTATTTCTATTTGTGCATGAGTCTGAATATGTGATTCAGAGTAAAATATTCTGGTGGCTTATTCCACTACCGATTGTTGACAAAATGACCTGTGCTCTGGTCATGCAGTTTTCTGTTGCAACAGATGAAGCCGTCCACACTGGACTTGTGTAAATGTTCAAAACCATGTTTAGATTCATCTAAACTGAAATATTGTGATCTGTAATATTGTCATTAAAATGTCCTATTTGTCCACATTCCTTTTGCCTGGCATTGCTAATTAGTTTTCTGCCAACCCTGTTAGATTTACAAGTGCAATTTACTTTGCATGCAAAGCTCAAGTAAAAACATGAAGAGCATTTGTTGTTTTTTCCACCCACTCTCGTATTCAAGTGTTCAAGTGTCAGCTCCTATATTTTATTAAAAAGCTGTGTTCCCGCCGACTTTTAGCACATACCACTTACATCTGAAAGCACCAAACTAGAGAGCAAACGAGCTATTGAGCACGGGTACTTAGCAGTAAGCAAACATAATTGTTTCAGCATGCACCCCTGAATTATGTATAGGAACCACCTATTCTCATGCCCAATCTCTTTTCAGAGTAGTTGTGGGAATTTGAACATCATTCACTACAGATGCACTTGAGCGAGTGGGCATGTGTGATTATGTGTGCATGTGCTTTTTTTTCAGTTAGGGCCCATAAAACCTATTATTCATTTATATCCTGGCACCTGGGCCTGGTAAAGTGAACTCATCCCACACATCCTTACATACATTCCCAGAGGAGCATAAAGAAGGGGGCTCTTTACGTTGCCTTGGCATGCTGTCAAAATGACTGCTTAGATGGCCATTTGCATTCACGTGGGCTTTTGGAAAAGTGAAAGCGTTCATTGCGCTACGGGGGTGCATTGAGTCCCTTGGATTCCATTAGCATGTGATTAACAACTTGGGTTGATGGCTATATTTTCCAAGATTGATGGGACAAATATTTGCCCAGGTCTTAACTATGAGGAATTATGGGCCACTTTTAATTAGGCACTTGCTTTTTCTAAATATGCAGACGGTGGAGAGGGTGGGAAGCTCATACAACCGCGCTAGCAGTGATCAAATTCTGCTTGTTCAACTCTCATTCCTCATAGAAGGTTGTCTGTAAAATGCCAGACTCTGAGTAATTAATAACTAAACTGGCACCTTGTTTAGTCATCCATTTCTGTCATTTTATAATGGTGCACTTGCTGTCTATAATAATACCCACCGCACTGATGTGTGGTGATGATGGTGGAGAAAGGAGAGTCATGATCTCACTATCTCACTATCTATTCTTTCCAAACTCTGCACCACTCTTCTTCATCCATCTTTTGTCTTTTTTTTCTTTTTTTTTTAAAAAGAGAGATAAAAAAGAAAATGGGCATAGTGGAAGGAGGGGGAGGGATGGGAGGAGGAGGAGGAGGGGGCAGTTGTTGATTGAACAAACAAGGTGCACAAGAGAGTGCACCACTTAGCAAGACAGATGTCAGCCCCCTTTGCATTGTGGGATCCGGCGGAGCACTCCTGCGTCATTAAGGATGGCCTGGTTCCCATGGCGAGGGGAAAGGAAGGAGCGAAAGGAGGAGGGCCTGCTGCCAAGTTCAGCGCCTCGGGGATCAGATCAGCGTCACGGGGTGCTAAGTGGCCTAGTTAGCGCTTTAAAACGCACAATGAGCTGCCTGCTCTTTCTCTGTGTGTGTAGGCCTTTTAACTGTCAGACGTGGAAATGGTTGGGAGGTGTGCGTGATGGAGGGGGGACTCAAACGATGTCAGTTTAATCAAGGTGTATCAAGGGGAAACTGAATTATACATGGAGAATTTGAGGCCTATTTTTCATTTTGCTTTGAAAAATGTTTTTCTAGACCAGTAGATACAGTTAATTAACCATGTGAGTTGCTTATGTGGTTCTATGTGCCTCATGGTAATTGGATAGAAAACAAATATTCCCCAGGTTGGACCATTTCGATGCGTCTTACCTCTGCCTTCTCTGTTCTTCTGTGTCTCTCGCTCGCTGTGGCTTGGTAGAGCAAACAGTGCTTGCTAGCTGAATGGTGCTGGATGGAGAACGTCCACAGTATTGTCCTTGGGGCCCTGCAAGAGTTAACCATCATGGTAGACTGGACCAGACTGGACAGCAGATCAGGCTCCTAGATCTGGCATCAGCAAGTGAGAGAGAACAGGGGTCCATCATGTACTCTGTGGAAATAAATCAGCGTGGTGACAGGGTGTGCCAGGAGGAATATTCTGAAATAACGTGATGACCTGTTAAGTCATAGACCAGACAGAGTTTTCTCACCTAAATCCCACCAGTACAGATTTGCTGCTGTAGGTGTCAGGCTCTAGGTGTGAGGGTATCTGGACCACAGCTAACATTTACCTCCCCACTGATACAGTGGTACACGCTCACTCTGTGGTGTTAGTCTGGACCAGCTGGTCAGAGCTGGCTCTGTTGGAGATGGTGCCCCGGGCTAAGCCTGCCAGCCTACTGCCACTATGCCCGGCTGCCAGCCTGTCTGCTGGGTGCTGAGAAGGACAGAGAAAGGTGTAGCCTGCGGATCTGAACAACATCAAAGTTTGTCGCTGGATAGGATCCTACTGTGGTTTTAGTATCTGGTACTGGACCTCTGCTGTTGTTTCTGCTGCTGCTGCTAAATGTACCACAAGTTTAGAATAAAATAGGTAAATGTGTGTTTCTATGTATATATCAGCTCCCAGCTGCGTGTATGTCTGGATCATACTGTTCATATACTGTATTTTTTCAATCGATATTTGGAGGTTGTATAATGTATTGAAAAACAACCTGAGGCAAAATTTTGACACCTTATTTTTACCCTTGTGTGAGTTGGATATTTGTTGATTTACATAACACACCATAACAAAGACGTAACAAACAGATGTAGTTACTGTAGATCCACTTGCCCCAGGTCATCCCCCTCTGACAGTGCATGCTGTTCAGGTGAGGAGTTTTTTTCTTCATAACACAGTGAAATTAATAACCACAGGTTGGGCCTCACCTCACAGTTTGATTTGACAAGACATGAGTCGATTAGGTTTTTATGCTTCTGCAAAATCCCTAAGTGGTAACATCGCTGTCAATTATCAGTTATTGGTGTTAGAAATTGCTTTGTTTAAAAAAAAAAAACGCACAGAAACAGAAAATAATTTTGTTAATGTTTTAGAACGCTGTCAGTGAGCCAAACCAAACCAAAAAGCTCACTCAATGCATATAACGTAAGCATCAACTGGTGCCAACTGAGGTATTACCTGACGCATCCACAGGAAGGACTTGTAAATTTGTATTATTGTCATCTCTTTTCTCTCAGTCTTGTAGCCGTCAAAGACAGATTCCTGACCCCGTGACCATTTGGCTGCAGAGTACAAACGTATATATGGTGAGGATTTGTGTGCGTGTGTATTTGTTTTGCACTCACTGTAGCCTCAGTGTGGCAGCATTAGTGTGTTTGAGCGTTGAGCTGTCAAAAAACCCTCTGCTGGAGTGTGATGATGATAGCAATGTCGCTGTGGCAGGTGCGGTCCTGCATGCCATGCAGGTGATGTCTCTCATGCTCACTTAGCTAATGACTCCAATTAAAGTAATTAAGAGCTGGCACGCTGAAACCTGCTCACCCTCCCTCTGCCAACCCATCCATTCGCCTTCCTCTTCACCAGCACACATCACCGCACACCTCGCACCACTACATGCCATCATCTGCTGCACTACTTCTCCTCTCCTGCATTCCCTTCATCTGTCTCTCGTGGGCACCTCACCATCCTCTTTATGCCATCCTGTGCCTCTGCTCCTGCTCAGGCCTTTAAAAGAAACATGAAGTCTAAAATCAGCTTAAACGCTCCACTCCAGAAACACTTAAGAGACCCTCAGTCCAACTTATTGTCACAGAGACAGCTACGGAAGGGGAGAGCGGAGGCCGGGTCCTGCAGGAGAAAGACGGGAGTTAGAGAGGGAGAGGGGATGCAAGCCAGGTCCTAACGAGGGAAGAGATAATTGTTTTGTTTTGTTAGGGGCCCTTCTTCAGCGTGGAGGGAGTTGAAATGACATGCCACACATGTTTTTTTGGATGAAGTGGGCAAGGGGAGGGGTGACTTGATGCAAGAGCGGTGAAAGTGTGGAGGAGGGGGTTGCAGCACAGAAAAGGCGGTCATATACATAGAACAGAAAAGGGCTCCAAAAAGCTGCAGCCACAAACGCAATATTGGAATCTGCTAAGTGGTTTCTGTGCTGACAGATTCACAAGCTCTCAGGAAACTTTGATTACGATCATGCACATTGTTGCCTTCCACTCGCAGGACTTCTAGAAGATTTCAATGTCAAAATACGCATTAATCACAGAGTAGCTCAATATCACAGCCCACAAATTCCAACAGTGGGAAAGACCACACTGGGCCAAGCTGGAGACACAGCTTTGGCCACCGGGCCTGGTCAGATTTATCAAAATTCATGAAACGGCAAACATATGAATCTCTGGTGTCTTGGTGTTCTTTCAACACTTGGAATCCCAGACTGACAGACGATGTGCCTGGATTTATAGCTGGCGTTGCAGAACAAACACTTTTCCAGAATCTCATATTTTCTGTGAGAAAAAAACTTTGAACCCTGAGTTCACCTCCCCTTGTTCACCTCATACGTCCATCCCCTCTGGCTCGTTTCCCTTTTATTTGTCTGTTATATTCGACCAGATGCTAAAAGTAAGGAATGTGGTTGAGGTATATTAAATATGTGTAAAACTAACTCTACTACTTTTTGCTGGATAAGCTGTCCCCACCCCCACCGACATAGTGACACAGTAAGATGAAAC